GGCTTAGCATGGTCTGTAGTCTTATTGATATCAGTGGCTTAGCATGGTCTGTAGTCTTATTGATATCAGTGGCTTAGCATGGTCTGTAGTCTTATCGATATCAGTCATCACAGTAGTCCAAATTTTGTGGACTCACGAGGCGCAACATCATAAGAGTAAGAGTAAAGACTACGCTAAACTACTCTCGATTTGTTTTTTGCTACAATATCAACGTCAAATTAAACATTACTGCCAATCGTGGTGTAGAAAAAAAAAAAACAGCCGCTACCACGAGCCTCCTATACTGGGTGGTAAAGCAGCATTCTAATATGACCTCCTTCAATTTAACTTAAGGGCGTGAAGCTAATTTGACATCTTCCATCTCTTCCATTTTCTGTGCTTGTGCAGCTGCGTCATTGAGATTAACAGATTTCATGCGCCTAGTATTCTCGCTTACGGCGTACCCTGTTCCCCCTAACCACAAGCGGCCCAAGTTATTCATGACAGGATTATTTGCTTTATTTGAGTTACAGAGCGGAGCGTAAATTCCTACACGAAGCTTTATAATAGAGTGATTGTAGTATTATCCTCTCCTGGACAGCTTGAGCCCCTTGCGCTCTAACCTCGCAGAATATAGATAAAGGGGGTAAGTTCCAAAGATACTGTGGCGCTGCGTCGATCGGGGATTTTAATAAGATAACTTGGTGCTATCAACGAGTTGATGATCTAAATTGGCCACCGTAAAGAGTTTCTAACCGAACGTTTCAAGCGTTAGCCTTTCGTCGAGCGCTAGTCCTTTGTCATTCGCTCTGACGAAGGGCTAACGCTTGAAAAGTCAGCTTAGAAACCTTCTATGTTGGCCAATTTACATTATCAATCTCGTAAGAAATAGTGGAGAGAATTTATTACACGCTACATGTTGGGTCTAATAGAAATATCTCTTTGTGATTCCCATAGAACCTCTGGGATTCAAACAGGTACGCATCGCACAAACACAGTTTTAATTCCGCGTAGAGTAGTGGAAACTGTATGCATCCCTCATAACCAACAACCCGCTCGACGGCTAAGAAACATGGCGGCTTCGCAAGGTATGTANGGTTTATTTGAGCAGGACTTAGCACATAGGTTTCAGATACACAGGTCATCAGTTTGCAGAAAAGTGACGACATGGACTAATTTTTCGTATTTTTTTCTTGGGAGTCAAGTGATCTGGCCATCAAGGGAAGATGTCAATAGCTATATGCCAGAAGGTTTCAAAAGGCCTTATGCAAGCACACGTGTTATATTAGATTGTACTGAGATTTTTGTGCAAACAGCTACCTCACTGCTATTTCAGTCACAGCTTTATTCTAATTATAAAAGTACTACTACACTAAAAGGTTTAATAGGTTTAATAGGTTTAATACCCCTTATGGAGTTATTAGTTTTGTTTCTAGCCTTTACAATGGAGGGATAAGTGGTAAGGGAATCACAAGGTGCAGTGGAATTCTAGATTTGTTAGAGCCTGGGGACTCGGTTATGGCCGACAAAGGGTTTGACATTGAAGATTTGCTGAGGGAGAAGGGGGTGGAGCTAAATATTCCTCCGTTTCTAGAAAGTCTGGAACAATTCTCTGCCCAGGATGTTCAGAAAACAAAGACAATAGCAAGTTTGAATATACATGTTCAAAGAGAATTAAGGAGGATCAAAGGATACCACTTTTTTTATTCTGATGTGCCATCGTCTACATTGGGTTCAGTCAATCAGTTATAGACTATAGCCTGCCTCCTTACAAATTTCCAGGGCCCACTAATCTTATCTAATAGTAACAATGAGCCATAATGAAGTTATTGTGTTATTTATATTTTATTGGGAATGTTTATACTTTACCTAAACAAAAAAATAATGGTCATTGAACTGAGTAGAGTGCAACTTGATCTGATATCGAACGCAAGTGAACAAAATCACATGATGGCATAGTAGGAATATGATATGAAATCAAAAGTTTGATATAAGACCGAAATTGTACGACACTGAACATTTTCTGGATTTATGTAAATGAAGCTCCACTTTGGTCCCTTTAGAGAGTAGTAGCAATGTCAAACATAGGAAATAAAATTTGAAAAATATTTCACTTTGTGTACATTATTTGCTCTAATCTGATTGGCAAACTGTATACAATCCTGCAATATGATTGGTCGTGTAAATGTAGTATTGAATTTTATTTTGCTAACAAAAAGATGTGATTCAGACTGAAAATAGTGGGATTCGTGCTCGAATCATACAATTTGAACCAATCAAATTACAGGATTTGATGGTGATTTCAAAATGGATATAATAAATTGGAATATCTGGGAAGTATAAATTACAGAGCAACCTGCAAATCAGTGCGATCAAAAATATGTAGAAAAGATCCATAGGGAAACAGGAACATTTTCATATTAAAATTGGGAGTTGCAAAGTTTTTAGCCTTTCTTGGTGCAGGGGTTTTAATCTTTGAAGGTGATAAATGATGATCAGCTAATTTGTTGTCAATTAAAATTTAATTACCGGTAGGCTACCCTGCGGAGGCGCCGTGGCCTCATGGTTAGTGCGCTCGACTCCGGATCGAGTGGTCTGGGTTCGAGCCCCGGCCGGAACATTGTGTTGTGTTCTTAGGCAAGACACTTTACTCTCATAGTGCCTCTCTCCACCCAGGTGTACAAATGTTATGTTATGTTACAATAAATTCGGAAAAACTACAACAGAAATCTGCATACATATTATGAATTAAAAAGTATGTTATTACAATAAATGGAGCTACAAATATCAACCTATTTACAAAGGTGTTCATAAAGCGCTGAGTGTTAATTTTCGGGCGTGCGCCTTTTTTCCTAAGATTGTGTACATATGTCTTTTGGACAGGAATGACGTCTTTCAGGGGGTGGAAATCCGTTGATTTTAGTTTCTTCAAAATGTTTCGGTCTTGTTTGTTTAAAAGGTTCTTGATAAAAACTGGAAATGAGATAAAACGGCGTTTATGACATCGGTCTAAAATATTTTGTACAACCGTAAGATCGGACTCAGATGCCCCACAGACTGAAAGTGCATAGCTAAAATTAGTAAAAATTAAAATTATTAATATAAAAAGATGATCAATCTCCGCCTGAGAGTAATGTTCCTTTCTCAATGTTCGTAGGACGTGTAAACACTTGTTTGCTTTGACAAGCTTAGTTCTTACATGCTCATCAAATTTCCCGTCACTCTGTAAAGTTACTCCCAGTAAAACGAAGCTATTACATTGGGGAATATTATTAATTGGAGAGTAGAGTACATTATGATTTTTCTTTCTAACAACCAGCTCTTTACATTTGCAAGGGTTGCAGACCATTCTGTTGTCTTTACACCATGTTAAGAACTGTCCTACTAAGTCGGCAGACGGGTCACTATTCCTAGTGATAGGCGAAAGAATAGTGGAATCATCGGCATATTTAAAAAGCACAGGGCAACCATTAAAAAAAATCTCCAAATCGTTCAAAAATATATTAAAAAGATACGGTCCGCTTACACTACCTTGTGTGGTTCCTCTATTGACAGATTTCCACTGTCCTAAAAAATTATAACTAACAACACGTTGTTGTCTTGCATAGAGGAAACTATGATACCAATTGATAATGTACGGATTTAGAGGTAGCTGTTTCAGTTTGGCAGACAAAATAGCATGGTTCACAAAATCGAAAGCCTTACTGAAGTCCATGGTAAAAATTCGCACTGCGCTACAGTCACTACTATCTAAATACTTGTATGTCTGGTGCTGGATAGCGAGCAAGGTATTTGTGCATCTACCCGCCTGTCTATATGCAAATTGGGTGTGGCTCAGGTTGTTCTCAATGACTGACTGTGCTTGTGTACGATACACGACCTTCTCGAACAACCGGGCAATAACGGGAGTAACATCAATACCACAGTAGTCTGAGTCCTCTATGGTCCGGATGCGGGTTCGAGCCCCGGCCGGGACATTGTCTTGTGTTCTTAGGTCTCACTTTACTCTCACAGTGCCTCTCTTCACCCAGGTGTATAAATGGGTACCGGCAATTTAATGCTAGGGGTAACCTAGGATGGACTAGCATCCCATCCAGGGGGGAGTAGAAATACTCCTAGTCGCTTCATGCTACAGAAACGGAGTTAAGCACCGGCCTAATGGGCCACTAGGCTCGTAAACAGACTTTACTTAAGCTGCCCTGCCCTCTGCCATACATTGTGAACACAGTCTTGATGTAAAAAGTAATTGAAGAAAAAACTATCCACTTTGTCCTTTGCTTCCTGAAAGAACACTGGATCAAAATTAACTCTAGAGCAAAAAAAAAAATCTTCATCAATGTAACTAAAAAAAATCACACCATTCCAATCCTGTGAGTCCAAGCTGGCACTGAATCTGGTAGTAATGAGTGTCTGTTGTCTTCAGTTTGTACTGGTTAGTGTTCTAGTCCTTAGTTAGATGTCTGACATTGTCAAATGAAGTTTCACCTTCTTTGACAACTTTTATTTCTAATAAGTCAAATGGATTCTCACCATTATTTACTGCATCAAGATCATAAACTTTTCTGTCTGGACTACAACCTAGCGATGCTCATTTGGTCATCCTTTGCCCGGCCAGGTAAGCGGTGTAACTTTAATTCAGGATGATATCTAGAATCCCCGTTACACAAGGGAACAAAACAATGGTACGAAGATTTCTTCATCGGGTCTGATGGCTCGTCGGTAGTCTCGAAATGTACAGTGAATTTTAGCATTGCGTTTAGTCTCAATGTAAGACGCATAATTACTCTCGTAAGATCGTAAGAAATCGGGCGTAAAAATTCCACTCGATTGCTATTTTCGATCTAATATTTTATTTTCATAGACTTTAGAAGTCCAATAACTGAAAAAAGCAGAAAAAAGTATATTTTTTGAAGTACATACCTTGCGAAGCCGCCATGTTTCTTAGCCGTCGAGCGGTTTTTTTACGATTTTTTTACGATTTTTTTACGATTTTTTTACGGTTTTTTTACGATTTCGAGAAAAATATCGTGCTTTCCATCCAAAAATCGAGTCCAGACGAAAGATTTAGTAAATATATTACAGTTTTTGTAGATATTGCAAAAGGATTGAGCGTAATGAACGGAAAACTATTGTCTAAAGTCAGATATGCTTGACCCGCTTACGAGAGTTTGTTTACTGGTGCGCTTCCTCTCCAGTTTTGTGTTGCTATGCAGTATCCAAGCACGTGACCTCTAGCTGCAAAGGGCCTATTCAGATTTATCAGTCAATTTCGAAGCACTAAATAGCTCTCGATGGCCATGTTTGATTGGTTGTTTCTAAATGGAAGGCCATCCGAATAACAATCTGAATGTGTCATCGGATAAGATGGCTTAAGAAAGAGATTTAGTACCACACCACTAATCAAGCCTGGGACAGATTATTCCTTCCCTACCGTGGGAAAAAAAGAGTACATATTCAGGGAAAGGCAAGTAACTTTCTTTTACCTTCCTCTGATCGAAGCGTTTACGATACCTGTTGGCGATTTCTTCCTGCAATCACCTCCTAACTTTCTCTTCTTTCTTCTCCTTATCATTGTGAGACGCATGCACAAATTTGCTCGATATTCTGTGAAATAGAGGAGACAAGAAGTAGCCAAGAGGAGGAGCCAAGAAGTAGGCAATAGTTTAGATTGCAATTATTATTACTACCTGGGACAATATGAGGAGAGATGTTATAGAATAAAGATATGGATAGATGAGTGGTAGAGCAGAAGGGCAGGGGAGGGGGTTTGAAGCCCTCCCAAATAACAATTTGGAAGGCACAACTCCCCACATATTGGTGCAGAAAATATCCCTTGTACATCATGGAAATTAGAAAAATACTCAAACGCTTCACAAATCCAAGCCCTAGTTAGTCTATTCATTTAAATTTGGTCAAACGTGAAGGCCAGTTTGTTACTTGTTGTTTTATAAGAATTAAAAATTAACTTCACTTTTAGCAGTTTTAGATCCATTTCTAGCCATTTCAGAAGACATGCCTCCTATTGGCACGAAGCCACAAAAGCGCTCGCTCTTTTGATTCTGTTATCGACCAAAAAAAAATGGAGATTTGAGTGAAATGTTCTCCCGCTCTAATAGCCGCTCGTCCCTTTGGTCGGAAAAAAAAAAAACAGACAAACAAAGACAGAAAGCTTTGAAAACCACTGAGTTCTCGTTTGAAATGGTCCTTAGGAAAATTGGTAACGATACATGCTTAATTCATGCAGTCATTCGAGTTCGAGGTGGCTATCTTGAAATCTGGGTTAATCGCTTACATCCCGCATCTTGATCGCCGACAAGTGAAACAAACCAAAAGCAATGAACTCGACTCAAACATACAGAACTGAGAAGACTTCGGATCATTTTAGTTTACTGCCTATTTTACTAAGATGTCAGTGATAAGGAAGCACTGCCGGCGACTTCGTTTGACTTGGGCTCGCACGACGATGGTAATTGTGATTTGCATAGTTCTCAAAATAAACAAATAAACGAACAAACAAACAAAGACACCACAACACGTTTGTAACCCACTGTTGTTTTGGCTTTCACCTGTTGGGGTGGGGAATTTTCAAATTGCATACGTATCAAGAGGAATAGAAAGGCATTTGAATTTGAATGGTGCCTTAATCTTTCATCATCCCTGGTCATCTTCGTTCCTTCCAGGAGCCCGTAATTAGTCTGGTGACCGGAAAGAGGTAGCGTTGCATAGCAGGGCAGGTGAATCGAAATATACTGCGCTAGGGCTAACATCTAACATGATGATTAGGACCAACGTGGAGGGCAGTGTAATTCACGAGTGTTTCTAGGGTCAAAGAAACGCATTTGAACTTGCACGAGAAACGATTATTGTGGCTTTCCCAGCTAGAGGTAACTTTTCCATTCCACGGCAGGCGACTGCAAAATAAAAATATAGCATTAGCGCTAACATAATGCTTGGAGGAAAGTATAAATCACGTGTGGTTCTACAGATGTAACAACTTTGCATGATTTTTGAAAATCGGCTCCAAACGTTTTGTTATTTCCTTGTCATCCTCGTTAATTCTCGGAGCGAGAACCTATTTTGATTTTGCAAACCACGACAAGCGAATCGAAATATATTGCGGTAGCGTCAACATAATGATAACATAAAATGAAGAACAGTGCAAATCCCATGTGGCTCTAAGACAAAACAAAGCAAAACAAAACAAAACAAAACCGCGCTTTGACTCGTTGCTTAAACAGAAAGACACTTTGCATGCAGGTTTGACTATCCCTGTTGCCGATCACGATTTTCACAAGAGATGGTGGCTCCTAAAGGAGCCGTTGATCAGTTCTTTGGGCGTTAGGGGATTCTCTACCCGCCAAAGCCATACAGGGTACGGCCTTGGCGTTTCAGGGCGTAGACCACATCCACTGCGGTAACGGTCATCCGTTTGACATGTTCGGTGTACGTCACAGCATCACGGATAACGTTTTCCAAGAAAACTTTAAGGACTCAGCGGGTTTCTTCGTAAATAAGCCCAGAAATGCGATTGACACTACCTCGGCGGGCTAGACGTTAGATTGCTGGCTTGGTGATTCCCTGGATGTTGTCCCGCAGAATTTTTCGATGACGCTTGGCGCCTTCTTTTCCTAGCCCTTTACCTCCTTTGCCACGTCCAGACATGATTTGCTTTACTTTCCAAAGATACAGATTCAAATTTTTCCGGCCCGAGACAAAACTTAAGATGTGTGGTTTGACCTCTCGGGAAACATATGACATTCAACAAGAACAAGAAAGCCGGGCGAAATGCCGACATATGAATACCATTATTACTTATATACTTTCGGATGGAGTAAGAATGATCTACCTACAACATTCAACGTAACCAATAGTCAAATTCACTCACACCTCCAAGATATATTACATTTCCGAGAGCACACACTGAAAGCGAGCGCCTGAGAAAAGTTTTGGGAATATTTGATGCTCAGAGTTGACTAAGATTTACTTTCCGCCCAGCACTCTTGGAAACTTTATGGAACAAAGAGTTTCACCGCAGCCAATCACAAAAAAAATTTGGGAAACCAATAGCATCGTTGAGCACTGGTTATAGAAGCGATTTTGTCCAACGGGGATCGGGAGAAAAGCGTTGAATTTTGGAAGAGTTGTGACTGACACGCCGATTATTGTAAGCTATGGCTCGGCGTACCAAGCAAACTGCTCAGAAGTCAACAGGTGGAAAAGCTCCTCGTAAACAGCTGGCCACTAAGGCAGCCCTCAAGAGCGCTCCCGCCACGGGTGGCGTAAAGAAACCTCACCGTTAAAGACCAGGCACAGTTGTACTTCGGGAAATCCGTCGTAATCAGAAATCTACGGAGTTATTTATCCGCGAGTTGCCCTTCCAGCGGCTCGTGCGGGAGATCGCACAGGATTTCAAGACCGATCTGCGATTCCAAAGTTCCGCTGTACTAGCGCTCCAAGAGGCTACAGAAGCATACTTAGTGGGTCTCTTCGAAGATACCAACCTGTGCGCTATCCATGCCAAACGCGTAACCACCATGCCGAAGGATATCCAGTTAGCTCGAAGAATTCGTGGCGAGCGGGCTTAGAACAGTCGCTCATTCATTAAAAAAACACGAACGGCTCCTTTAGGAGCCATCACCGACATAAAAGTCAATGAGCAGCCCACCTCCTTTCACATGTCTGTGTGTTTGTTTGTTTTTTAGTTTGTCTGTCTGTCTGTTTTTGTTTTGTGAACCGACTCTTTTAGGAGCCAACACATACATAAAAGCCGTGACCAACGACTTTCTTGAGGCGCCAGAAAATAAGACCTACTTGAAATCTCTTTCAATTAATTGAAACTTAGTACACTCACGCTTTATTTCCTTAGAAATACGAATGAATATTTTTAGCTTACTCCCTCTAAAAATACGGCAGATAAATTTATTTGTATCTTTCCGGCTTGGGAAAAGAAAAAATAAATAGTAGAGTGACTGTTTTCCCATCACTTCAGTTTTAGAAAGTGAACAGCCAAAATTCAACAAAGTCTTTTTGTAACAGAAAACCGTACATTGGATGATAAAGAGTTGTTATATGAAAATGTTTGTTCCAAGTTTCAACCTCTGACGTGACTGGTCTTGAGCTTTCTTTTTTTGATTTTTTAAGAATCGAGGTTTTCCCTGGTACCAAAGTGCTTGACGGTGGATATACAGAGAGAAAGGGAAAGAGAGGACCAAAACAAATACCAAAAAGATCGTATTTGAACCTTTTTATCAAAACAGAAATAAACTATGTTCACGCTTTGGTGAGAAATAATGGTCGATGAGTTGGACATTTACTTTCATGACATGTGGTGGCTCTTAAAAGAGCCGTTTGTTTGTGAGTTCGGGCAGTTCACTTGCTGCTGGTATATTTGGTGAGTGCTTTCGTACCCTCGCTAACTGCATATTTTGCGAGTTCGCCCGGTAACAGCAACCGGAGGGCGGTCTGGATTTCGCGAGAGCTGATGGTGGATTTCTTGTTGTAGTGAAGACGGCGTTACAGATCACACATAGTTGCACATCGGGAAATCCGATTCTATTATCGACCAAAACAAATTGAGATTTTAATGAAATGTTTTGGGTTACTCTCATCTCCGGAATTCTTTTTTGTCAAGGAGCTTATAAATGTTAAGCTTCACCGTTGAAGAATTTTTACCGCAATGCATTCTGGGAGAAGTTAAATGAATTGGTGTAAGGAGTTCTTGCTCTCCTTAGGAAGAAAGTTTTACTAAGTCTACCAATAGTTCTCGCTTTAGCACCAAATCTGCCAAAAATCAGTGGCAAATGAGCCACAACTTTTTTTGATCGAGAAGTAGAGTTAGACTTCCCGCCCGGATTCATCTGTTTCGAGCTTCAACTTTCACGCACTTTCAGCGTCAGAAGTGCTGTTGGAAACGAAAACAGAAACACACTTCGCTTC